TGGGAGAGTGGGATTAGATATGTTCTGAGAGAAAACAGAAGCAAGCAATTCTGTTAGCCAGCTGACTGTGATAAGGCCACTGGTCATTTGTTCTTAACTTTGACATCATCTCATTATCCTAGGCAGATATGCAGGTCATATTTCTAAGCAAGTAACAGCCAAACTATACTACAAATATACAGATGTATATTTGGAAAGGAAATTGTGTCTAGTTATCATCTGCATTTCTGTTTGTTGTGGGCCCACTCATGTCCCTGATGCATTTCAATGGCAGATGGAAAAGACAAACCTAGCAGAATTGCAGAGTAAGCAATATCACAATAAGATTATGTCTTGTTGCTACATTGCATCTTTCTACTTGGGAACACTTCCTCAATTCCAGGGTTAGTGCTAAAGCACCAGATAGGAAATAGAAGCACTTATTCTTATATATATAAAAAATCTAAAATAGAATATGCTTTAGTGTTCCTATTTCCATAGTAAAATAATTAATTCTAAAAAACACTACAATGCAGCTTCAAAATGTGATCTTAAAACCTATTCCTAATGTGCATTTCTTTAAAGCACATACAATACTCTTACTTATACCTTCTGTGCAAATCTACAACTCTTGGATGAATATCGGAATCCTTCTCTCAGGGCCAAACTTAATTTATTAAATTAGACAAAAATATTATGAAACAATAACAACATTTTCTCTGCTTTACTGTCATTTATATCTTTCTCATATCACAATGTAACCGGACTTCAAAGTGACAAGAACACACTGAGGTAAACCTGAGAGTATTACATAGCACATTGCCACTGCCCTGGCAAATAGACTTTTAAAAATATCCCAAACTTTCCTTGGAATAATACCGTGTTTCCATGAAAATAAGACTACCCCCAAAATAAGCTGTAGTTTGATTTTGGGGGTGGGGTTAATATATGCTCTATCCCAAAAATAAGGCTTAGTTTTGGGGTGAGGCGCATGCCTAAAAATCAAGCTAGGGTGGGGGTGGCGGGGTGGAGCTGCCCCAGGCACCCCATACCTGCTTACCGTTGCGGCCAGGCCTCCCATACCCTGATACCTCCCTCACATCACCAGCCCACTTTGTGGCCCCTGGAGGCCGGGACTCAGTTCTTGGCTGCAGAGGCCTTTCCTGAAGGCCTCTGATGGTGAAATGCAGGCCAGGGGGGTGTCGCATGCGTCAGTCCAGAGCTCCAATCTCAGCTGCAGAGGTCTTTCCTAAAGGCCTCTGATAGCGAAATGGAGATCAGGGATGATACGCGTGAGTGGTAGCAAGTGGCCACAGAAGTGGGATGGCTGGGGGGACAGATGTCAGTGCTGCCACTTCGAGGTGAAACAGAGGAAAAAACATCCCCCCCAAAATAAGACCTGGTGCCCCTTTTGGAGGAAAAACAATAAGGGTCTTATTTTTGGGGAAACACGGTAGGGACTATATGTATTGATCAAAATCTGTCTTTTAGGGTTATCGCTACTTGGATACAAATATAAAACTTTATTGCTGACTGAAAAGATTTGCCTATGTGCTGTTGTTTTATGCGAAGCAACCAAAGCAACATAACATAATATGAAATGGCTTTGTCATAAAGACTATGTTCCTTCTAAGATTCAGATAAATTAGGTGTACTGAATCCTTGACCTGAATCTCCCCTCAGATTAATCTCCTGTCCATTTCTAATTCCTGAGGAAACATGTTTTCCAGTATACTTGTCCTTCATCTTGTTCTCTTCATTTTGACAGTCCTAACAAAAGATGAAGTAGGCTGGAGAAAGGTGGAATTAGTGGCCATAGGAAGTAGGGATAAGTATCTGAGTATGTCTGTGACCTAAGGCCCTGTGTAACTTCATGGCATTGCTAAGACAGATGGTTCTTCTGTGCTTTTACCTCCCATGTGAAGAAAAAAGACTTGCATCTTGGAAAGTGAGGTATTCATCTCATATACTCTAGAATTGCCTTGCCTTAAGGCTCAGTGGCCAATATAGCATAATGTCCCAGTTGTGCTATATAGAGCTTCTGGCTTGAAGAAAAATGCAACTTTCCATCAGTGGCTTGAACTGCCAATTCATTTCCCATTCCTGTCCTGAGTAACAAGGGGTTAATTTTATTGTATGATTTCATGGGTGGTTACATCAGGACCTTCAATTGAATAAAAGAAAATGATTGCCTCCATTATATCTCTCTTGAATAGCTGAGAAGCGCTATAGCAACACACAACATCCCCATACATTTTATAGGGTTTTGTCTCTTTTCTACTGCTGCCTTAAAAATTAAAATGGAGGATGCTGTAAATAGAGGTAGGAGTATGCTGATAAAAAAGCAGTGGTAGTTGCCCACTTCTGACACTCATTTAGACAGGATGTTGGAGGGAAAAAGAGAAACTGGACATTTTCCCACCATATACATTATGCCACCTTCAGTGACTTTACAATGCATAGCTATTTTGTTTAACAAAAAGAAACCTAAATAAGGTTTAAAATGTATTCTCAATGGCTTGCAAGAATTGGGTATGCTGAAATGCATGTAAGGATCTATTTTTTTAAAAAAAATCTCAGAATTTTGGGTCATCTGATTACTTATCTGTTCATAGTAACTAGTTTTTGAGAGAGTGGTAGTGGTGGTGGAAGGCAGACTCTTACTAACATATCAGGTAAGGTAGAAATGGAATGAACTGGGAATAAAAAACTGACATCTGGAAAATGTAGAATAATATGGCTAATGTTTTTGCAGGTCAGGGTCAGTTTGCTGAAGTGAACAATGCATTTAAATTGTCAAACTGTCAAAACCTCAACCACATATTCTTACTTATTACTGTCACCTAGGGTCACCCCTTGTGGAGCTGTTCCTTGACAACAGAGAAACCTTCAAGAACTTTCTGGTGTAGGTCAGGTGAAAAGCTCCTGTAAGCATCTCCAGCTCAATTTCTGAGACACCAAAGGTGGTATGAAACAGCAATTACAAAAGCAGGAAGTCCCATAGGCATATGGTGGTCTTACTAGATTGAAAATTCCCTCCCCTTTATTGTCTGATTACAGGAACTGAAAAAGAAATATTTTTTGTTAGTATTTATAAAGTATAGATAAGTTCTCATTCTGAAATGATTCTGGATGGAAAAACAGATTTCCCTCTAAATAGATTACCTCATTCAAATGCTTATAAACTTCAGAGATAGCATAATTAGGGGAGATTAATATCCTATATTTGTGTTACTCATGTTAAACTATGGAAAGTGCTCAGAAAAATGGGAATCCAGAACACCTTACTGTCCTCTTGAAAAATGTATATTCAGGTCAGGATGTCACTGAAAATAGAAAACACTGAAATAGACCTGTTTCAGGTTGGCAAATAATGAGACAATGTTGTATGCCAAATATATATTAAGGGAAGCTGGATTGGAAGAAGATGACCATAGTTTTGAAACAGTCCATATGTTTGTGTGTATAAAAACATGAACTCTCCATCTAATTACAAATATTATAAGATCAAATTAATCCACTGCAGGATAAAGGCATCTTCACTGAAGCTATGAACTGTAATTCATAACTTCATTATGACTGGCCTGAAGTCACCCAGGGAGATTCTATGGAGATATAGGTCCTGTCCTCATCCAGTCCAGTAGCTTAACCATTATATCCCATTTAACTATTATATCCCACTATAATAAAATTTAGCTATAATAAAATCAATATCATCTCAAATGTGTATGGCATACTAAGTCAAATTGACTGATGGCAACAGTTCCTTTATGTCAAACATTTGTGTTGTTAGAATCCATAGGTTAGTTCTTATTGAGTCTTGGGCTAAAGCTGGCCGTGAGTATAATACATAGGAAGAATAGTTTTTGAATCATGAAAACCAAGAGATGCTCTGTTGTTGGTTTTTAAAACTTTCCCCTATAGACTCCATATAGTAGCTATCCTATAAAGGCTGACATAACTGAATATTACAAGAGTTATTTGGATTGCAATCCAAATACTTCCTGAATACTAGGAATGGCACATATCTGAATTTATAGTTAAATACTGCACTTTTCTGGCCCAATACTAGTTATATTAGGGTAGCATCATAAAATATGATATGATATAGAAATTGGTATGGTATTATGATTCACTGATTAGCAGATAAATTAACATAGATCTTTGCATTGTGAATATTCATTAATAAAACTAACATGGAATTTGTTACTTAGTTATGTAAGCAGCAATAGTACTTAGATTTATATACTGCTTCACAGTGCTTTACAGCCCTCTCTAAGTGGTTCACAGAGTCAGCATATTGCCCCCAACAATCTGGGTCCTTATTTTACCGACCTCAGAAGGATGAAAGAATGAGTCAACCTTGAGCCAGTCAGGATCAAACTGCTGGCAGTCGGTAGAATTAGCTCGCAATACTGCATTCTAACCACTGCACCACTACAGCTCTTCATTAAATTCAGCAAATTCTCTTATTTATGTTCCAATGTCACATGCCTTCCAAACAGGAAAAATGATCCATAGTATTAACTTTTGACAAAAGATGAACAGAAGAATTTTCTAGTTCAACCAAATCACTATCTACAATAACTATAATACTGAGTTATATAACACCTGCCTGTTTCCTGCTGGCCAGCTCTAATATAAGTTGTTACTCTAGCTTTGCTCTGCTCACTCTGCTCACTGCAATATTAGATTTACAGTTGAATCATCCTCTTTATCTTTTCTTGGACAACAAAAAACACCAGTCAAATGCTAATTTCTGAGCAGTCCGTGGGAAAGAAGAACAGTGGCAGGAATATCAAGCATTCTAACTAAGGCACGAGATTTCCTAGATGCAAACTGAAATAGTAACCTCATAGAATCTTGCAGCTCTTGGTAGGTATCCTTTCACAATTATGCTTGCTAAATGAATCTGGGGGAGCAATCACATCCTCATCCCAAAGCTCACGCTCATGTAAATGACCACTTTTGCTCTGAAACTACAGTCTTCTTGTGCAAAGTTCCAAATTTTCCATTCTTACCTGCGCAGGAGCAACTTAGGGTGGTTTTTGTTCTCCAGGTTCTTCTCAATCAGGTCAGACAACAACTGCTTGAGGACATCAGTGGCATATTCTAGCTTTCCTTGAAGTCCTGTCATGATGAGGGAAGCCACATTGCCACGGTCACGCATGGAAAAACTTCGCTGTAATTCCAGGGTACGGATAAATGTCAACAAAAAAACCTTATTGTTGAGGAGCTGGGCAAAGAGCTTCAGGGCTTTTTCAACGTTCTGCTGTCCATTCCCTTGGACCTATAAAATTTCACAAGTGTTAACTTTGTACCCTAAAAGTAAATGTGGCACGGAGATCAACTAAACTGGAAAACATTAATACTATAATAAAATACATGGATTGATACTACATCCAAAATTTGGCTTTATCCATGCATAGAATCCATATCTCAACTTTACGAGATACTTAAATCAGAATAGATTCTTAGTAATATGAATGTATGAATTTATTATAGCTATAATTCCATTGAGTGATTTATATTGTGTTGACCATCGTTCTTGATATGTATTCACTTTTAGTTTAATAGCGACTCTTAATCATTTAACATGACATAATTTACAAAATATATTTAATTATTTACAACTCGTTAATGATATATTAGAAAGCAAACCATGACATTTAAAAATCTTTGTTTACTCACTTGTATTCTATTTTTAATTATTTTCAAATACATTTTTGTGTTTGTTTAAAAATTCTTTAAAGCATTCAGTTAAAATAATTTAAAATTCGAAGTGTTTTTGAAAGTAATGATTTTTACAATATTATATTGTTTGTGTTGCACATTTAAAACAAAATATTCTTGAATTGTGAGCTACCCCACAGAAATGGCATTTACATAGGCATGGTACTGATTTAGACTCTTACACTGTGAAGCTCTAATACATGCACACATAAACACGCTTTTCCAATAGTCCTGGATGTAAGTTATGCATTGTAATTCACAATAATAAAACAATATAAGTAGTTATTTTAAAAAATTCTCACTGACTTACATTTTCAACTTATTTATATTATATAACTAAGCAGCAGTGGAATTGGTGATACATTGATCATTATTCTAGTTTTTTGGGGAATGGCAAAATCAGTTTCAACCATCAGTTTTATTTCCTATTTTCTATATGTACCAGAGAAAGCAAGGAGTGATAGATGATGTAAACACTAGCATTCCCAGGTATAATTTTGATATACCCATATAAATAGTTCAATTAATTTCTTCTTTGCATGTGTATTAAAAAATAAGGAAAGCAACAAACTTCATTTGATGGTAACCTAAATAACTTTAAAATACAAAAAAACATAAACCTTTGCAAAAGAAGTGAAAAAAGTGAAACAAATTTACTAAACTAAATATAAATAATGGTGCTTTTGTATTTAAATTTTGATCCCCCAGCCTTGGGTTACATATTGCCCCTTCAGCTACAGTACCTGCCCAGTTTATTTTAATTATACCCTTAGAGAAGGACTTCCTACAATAATTGATATACTTACTCACAATAGGTAGGACACTGTAGCTTTCCTTAAAAGAATGCAGATGGTGAATTTGTTCTATCATGAGGCATCCCTTCTTTGCAAGCTATATGGTTAAAAGAAACTAGAGTTCCATACTTTCTCCTGTAATAAATTAGTCAATCAGTTTTTACTGGAAAAGTTGATTAAAGCTCTAGCTTTAATCTGGAGAAAATAAGGCGTTCTAGCTTTTCAGACAAAGAGAGCAGTGAAATGGGAAATGTCTTTTCAAGAGCCATCAGCAGCAAAAATGAAAAGCTATTTTCACAGGCACCCTGGTGGCTTATTGAGGCATGGGTATTCCCATGTTATTACTCTCACACATGCCGTGTTTGTAATGAATGTGTAAAAATGTTTCTGATGGAGTTTCCCCTTCATTGTTTTTCCATGGTCAAATGTCAGCAGCAGCATTTTCATACAGAATAATGGGTCCCATCTGCTCCTGCCATTGCTTTAACAACATGAAAAAAATTGGGATGCCTGGTGATATACTTAGTCAATTCAGCATACAATATAGACAAAACTGAAGTGATGTGACCAAGGTCTTTCTCGTGCACAAAAGCTTTGCCAAGTGGAGGACAAGATGCAGAAAAGCTCCTTTGCAAAAACGGGAGGCTTATTCCTCTAGGCAAAGCAGAGAATGGATTTCCCAAGCTCCCCTTTGGCTTTTTTTGCACAAAGGGAGAACTCAAAGAGAATTTAGGCAGTCATCGGTAATAAATGCAGCTTCTTTGCTGTCGGTCATGGAGGACTAGTCATGGAGTTTTAGCAATAGAGAAAGAAAAAAATGTCAGGGCAGCAGCTACACAAAGGCAATCAAAAGAAAACAAACTGTGTGTAAATATATATAAAATGCAAGGTTTATGTTATAATGAATGTCAGTATTCATTGTGCTTATCCCAACACTTCTAATATGATTCAGCGTGGGAGGTGGAAAGGTGCTTTCACAGCTATGTGGATTTTAATCGAGCTTCTCAGAAAGGACCTTGAGATTCACCAGTTACCTGATGAGATTGAGATAGAGAGAACATACGGCTACTCCATTACCTCTAGTTCACGCAGGACAGGGTGATCTTCAATGCCAGGGAAGAGAACTCTCATGGCATATGTGCGATAATCAAGATACGGGATCCCAGAGCGGTCCAGGTCACTGGTTAACTCATTGATGTCTGTCTGCAGCTCTGCAAAAGCTATTAGGGAAAGGGAGTGAGAAAGACAGGCAATCAAGAGACCCGCTCTGGGAATGGAGGCTGAGATACAAACAATCAAGGTCTACAAATGAGCCAACTCAGGAAGCTTGTTTACTCCAGACCTCTCTGTGCCACCAAGACATGCCCTGAAGCAGGGAGCCACTTTCTCAGTATGAGAGAGAAAGAGCACAATGCAAAGAACAGATGCTGAAACAAAACACACTTCCTAATTTGTATTCTGTTCACACCTTGTATGTAAGCACTGAAAATGCCTTGGAAGGCACTAGATAAAAATAAAGATCCTATTTTTAAATCAGTCTGTGTGGCTTTTTTACTCTCTCACTTACTCAACCCCTCTATTCCTCATGTCCTTTTGATGTAGCTAGCAGAAGGAAGATATCCCCATGTTTTATAGCTTATCTAGGGTCAGGGAAGAAAATTATGCTTTTTAATTGAGATTCAAAACTATAATAAGATTCATGGACCTAACAGAAGATTCTCCTGATGTACTTAGTGGGAGGGCATGGAAACTGATGTAGTTCAATTGTAACAGTAGGGCAATGTATATAAGGATAGCACACATGTAGCACTTGTCCAACTGCTTTTTCTCAAGATGAAGATTTGTACAAATACTGTGCACACATGGCGATTATTCAACCTTCTAATATATTGTTCTGGAGACGTCATGGCACTATGAAAATTAACCTGTGAAATGGAATGTTGAAATCTTACTGCTGAATGTGAAAATCTATCTTATTTGCATCCTACCTACCTATGTGTGTGTGTGTGTGTGTGTGTGTGAGAGAGAGAGAGAGAGAGAGAGAGAGAGAGAGAGAGAGAGAGAGAGAGAGAGAGAGAGAGAGAGAGAGAGAGAGAGAGAGGGAGGCCTGGAAGTCTGTGGGTTCTACACAGTATCTTAGCTACTCCTAGCATGGCACTCTTCTAGACAGAGGGCTCTAATGCTGTTTTTTAGAAGGTGTTGGAGTTTACCATATATATCGTATCAGCTTCATGTCAGCATCTGTGTTCAATAATGGAAGCAGTAGCAGTGACATTTCAGCTTCAGGTGTTGGCTGAACATCTTCTTGTGCTTCAGGGTCTTCTTAATTCTGCAGGATCCCATCTGGGTTGTTCACCAGGACCACAGGTTTTGTCTTCCAAGCTTTTGGACTCATGCTGTACTCCATCTTCAAGGAACTTCTCTCTAGTGCTAGAGAGAAGTTCCCTGAAGATGGGCTCCAGCATGAGTCCAAAAGCTTGGAAGCCAAAACCTCTGATCCCAGTGACCGACCCAGATTGGATTTTGCAACATAATCCTGGGACACGTATATTTGCCTTCATTCATGTATTTGTTCTATCTGAAGTTGTGAGAGCAGTTTCCTCTTCACTATGTTGACACGCTGGTTAACTCGCTGTTTCTCAGTTAGTGTGGATGTAGTTCTTCTGTCCATCCATTGTTCACTCATACATTTCATATATATCCTCTCATTGTATCTACTGTTATAGTAACATTCCTTTGATTCCAGATTTTCTTGTCTCATGGTTTATTCCAGTAGCCCACTTATCATTGGATTGTCCTGGCTCAACATCTGGTGTGGACCTGGCTGATGTCTGAGCCAGCAGGACTCTCTTAGTTCATGTCACTCTCACATTTTGAGGTAGGAAGATGAAACATTGGAGGTTTTTTTGACCAAGGATCAGTACACTATTCAGCTCTGTGTGTGTGTGTGTGTGTGTGTGTGTGTATACATGCATACATATGAGTCACACTATCTAATCTATTAACATATAGTGACACATTCCAATATCAAAAAAAGCTGTTTCAGAAAATTCAAAAAGGCAACAGGCAAAAGGACCTTTTGTTTGATGCTGTAGTTAAATAATTGAGACTTTTCAGTCTGTGCTTATCTATGGTAAATCAGTCAACTCAATTTACCTTCTATCTGCCTTTGCTTTATGCCGTCTGCATTTCAACCAGTTGATCTGTTTTTTTTTCCAGCCAGGTGGTTGTAACAGTATTTCATATTCTAAGCTTCTTGATTTTTACACCAAGATGTACAAATTATTTTACAGCCTGGTTCCAGCATCTTGTGATTGCAAAGGATCCTGGCTTTCCTTAACTTCCCATGAAATGCCTTCAGAAAAAGATTCACAGATTGCCAAGCCTAATGACCTGGCACCGACAAATTTTATACATCTTGCTGAAATAGGATCAAGTGCTAATCCTGTTCTCCACACATTAGTCAAGCAAAGGATGTCTCTGCATTTAATATACTTTTTACTGTCTTCCAACACATACAGACACTCATGGGAAAAATTCCAAGCTTCTCTGGCTGTAAAAAAGGGCATTTTACAACTATATGTGTGTTTGAGAGAGATTGACCAAATGTTTATTTGACAGCTGTATGTGGGGCTCAAGCCCTGTTAAATTCATACTGGATCAAAGGAAATAGGTTAGCAGAAGGCAGTTACCATGGAAACTACACTTGGACTGCTCACTATTGGAGATGTGTTCAATGAATGGAGAAAAGTTATATTAGGCAAACCAGATAGAGTTGTGTGTATTGTATATGTTTATGCGAATGAAGATTCAAAATAAATAAATAAGTAAACAAAGTACGCATGCCTTTTACATAGGTTAAATACAATGACTGAAATGGATTTATTCTTTGAGCCAGTGACATTGAGACAGATATGTACTATGCAATAACTCTTATTGGGTTGATAAAAGGTAATAAGAAATTAAAGGACATGGCCATTTGTCAATGCTATACTTAACTGATAATAGGAACTAAGTAGCAATAGCAATAGTAATAATACATAGACTTATATACCTCTCCATAGTGCTTTACATCACTCTCTGAGCAGTTTACGATGTCAGCATATTGCCTCCAACAATCTGGGTCCTCATTTTACTGACCTTAGAATGATGCAAGGGGGAGTCTACCTTGAGCCAGTCAGGATTGAACTCAAGGCTGTGGGAAGAATTTAGCCTAAATACTGCATTGTAATCCTGCATCACCAGGGCTTAGATGCTAAACAGTTGTCCATTAAAAATGCCTATGTATGTGTGTGTGTGGGGGGCATGTGCATGTGGTGTGAGCATGCATGTATTGGCATAATTATGCATATTCTGTATCCATATATGCATGAAGTAACATTCTTCAGGACCTATTTTATGACTAACCAAGGAGGATGAACAGTAATAGATCTTTAGAAATTAACTTTATTACAATGGTCAGGTACCAATCAGCTTAGATGATATAACTTGTTTGAGACCCTAAAACAAACATACTAGCAATTTGTCATGCATTGTATTATATTATTATACTATAATATTTTGGACATTTTACAGCAAAATTGGCAGAATTTTTCTTGTATTAAGAATTTAAACATGCTCTTCATGATTCTGATGGGTTCTCTCACCTAAAATTCACTTTCTCTCACTATGACTCACTTTCTTTCATAGTGAAAGTACAAATAATGTCCATCAACAGTGAAACCAAGTCGTTCCAAGCCTGAATGGACTGCATATTTTAGAGGACATCTTATTTGAAATTAGGGAGCGATACTGACCTTCTTTGCATTCAAGGGCTACCCGAGACTCGAGGTTGTCCATCTGCATCTGAAGTCTCTTGAGCGTGAGATCATTTTCACGTGACTTGCGCTTGTAGGCAATGAGGACTATGATGACTATGATGAGAAGAAGACTGCCTCCTGCTGCAATACTGACAATAGCAGGCAAAGTCAGCAGGCTGTCTGAGATCACATTCACTGAGCCAGGTGAGAAAATGATGCCACCTACATGCACCTAACCATCAAAAACAATCAACAGAAGATTACATTACAGTGTGTACAGAGATTAATTTGGAATAAAAACAGTCACTTAGAAAGATGACATTTACATCACAAAATGTGCTAGTAAGAATGCTGGGAATAGGACCGGCAATGAAAAGGAACACTTCTCCTGTATAAGTCCTTCTATTTGTCTACTTGGGAGTTAATGCATGGATGAAAACTGCTCATTTTTGTCCAGGAGCTGATTTTTTATTTTTTTTTTAAAAAAGAAATGTATAGTTTTAGGCACTGACATATTACTGCTGTTCTGGAAATCATTCCCAAAATGCTAAATACACTTTTAAAAGTCATAGAAATCTACTGATTTGCTAAGTTGTAGATAAGTCCTTGCAAGTAACATCCCCATAGAAAGGAAGGTCACATCCTTCTTGAAATATAGAAGAGCCTTTGAGTTACAACATATCTGTTATCCTTGCACTATCTCCCACATTCCTTTGATTACATGATATCTTCATTTGACTTTCATAACATAAGTTTGCAGCTTTCTTTTATAAACCATGAATATAAGAGAATAAGGATTTCATTCACAAAGGAATGAAAAGGGAAAGTATAGAAGGCAAGGAAAGAACAAAAGAAGAAATGGAAGGGGAAAACTGAGGGAGTTAGGACTGCCAAAGAATAAACTGATGTGCACTTTATAGGTGTTTGGTATAATAGTAATAGTAATAGTAATAGTAATAATAATAATAATAATAATAATAATAATAATAATAATAATAATAATAATAATAATAATAATAAAGTTGGAAGGGCCCTTGGACGTCATCTAGTGCTTATGATATCATATAAATCATAGTATTAGACAAATGATGTGAAGACTGACTCTTATTTTTTTATGAAAAAAAATATGTGCTTTATAAAGTAATCTAAGGATGTTCACATTAGACTATCAGTGGCAAAAACAGAAAAAAAATCATGCGTGATTAATTACAACCAGACATCATTTTGGAGATATGAAATGACTTCAAATGGATTCTAAAAAATGACAATTCTTGTAAAGTTCTCACAGTTTTAAAAGCAGACAAGTCACTAAACTCAAGAAAAGCATTCACCTGCAAATGTGCAATGCCAGAAGTGCCTTTAAAGGAACAATCTAACCCATGGCTCTTGACTATATTGATGGTAATGAGGAAACTAGCAATCAACAGCAAAATCATTGAGAACAAGATAAGTATGCCCCCTCACAGCAATGTTGCATTGCATGTAAATGGTGTGAATAATAAGTGCTTAAGCCAGGGGTAGGCAACCTTGGCTCTTTTATGACTCGTGGACTTCAACTCCCAGAATTCCTGAGCCAGCCATGGCTGGCTCAGGAATTCTGGGAGTTGAAGTCCACGAGTCATAAAAGAGCCAAGGTTGCCTACCCCTGGCTTAAGCAAATAGAGTATGCATGGCACAGCATAGCCTTCGGTACCAAGCAACCATATATTCCTGATCTATCTCTACAACAAACTTCAGCACCAGTTGTGCCATAATCTTTTCTGACATTTTTGTTGAAATGAATAAGACCAGCTATTGAAATGAAACCTATTCACTCACAAGCCCAAATTAGAAGTTAAACTTTCCAGTAGAAGGCCATAACAAACCATATTGCTAAGGAAACAATGCAAATCTGTCCAAGAGGTCACCACAGTTTAGCTCAGTTTGGAATAGACTTTATTTTTTGAACTTCTAAATATGAAGAGAACTCCATGCAAGCCATCATTAAAATGAGCCAATATGAAAGTGAGACCATTTGGATCTGCTGATATCTTTGGTGCTGGAGAGCTTAAAGATCTCCCCCCCCCCAAAAAAAAGCTCTGTAGCTATATTAGTAATATTCTTCAGCTTTTAACTTTTTTCCCCTTGTGTGATCTGTTGCTTAAGGTCTTATCATAGAGGTGGGGAGACTCTACTTTACTTCTAGTCTACTGTTAGCCAAGAAAGAAAGAAAGAAAGAAAGAAAGAAAGAAAGAAAGAAAGAAAGAAAGAAAGAAAGAAAGAAAGAAAGAAAGAAAGAAAGAAAGAAAGAAAGAGAAAGAAAAAGAAGTTAATTGGGTGTTTTTAAGCAGGCTACTTTTTCAACCCATCTTATCTCACATTTGCTGTTACAGAGAAATTTGGGGAATTTCTGTATTTCACCTTAAGTTATTGGAGAAGAGATGGGATATACATCTCACAAATAAAGACATATCTCATTTGTTCTGCAAAATATCCAGGGTAATTTTCTCTTACAAGCTGATTTTGCCTTCAACTATAGCTTCCATCAGCATGAACTGAGGTAAGGTATGCTGGGGACTTCTGCACCCACTGAGATGTTCTGCTGTCTACCAAAGCTCTTGCTGCTATAAAAGTAGTTAGGCTCAAAGGTGTGACAGCACTTTTTGTCTTTCAATAGCTGCAGGGTTTTGTGTTTGCCAATGAGCAGTTCAGAGTTACAGCTGCTGTAACTATTACTGCTTTATATACCCTCATGCAAAATTCATACGGTGCCAGTGTGTGCTTGGATAATATGTGTATGAATGTCCAAGTTACAAACACATGATGGTGATTTTTGAAGCTCACCATAACTTTGTGTTGCCCGGTGAGATTTGGAGGTTCACAAAGTAATTGGGTCTCAGAGATGGTGACAGCACAGGGAGTTTCTCCAATCAGAACAGTATAATTCAGCTTTGCTCCACCCGATGCAGGTGGACACAGATTTTTACCCTATGGAAAAGCAAAAAAAACAATGTTTTATGAAACGTTAGTTAATGTCTCAGCTTTTCTATGATTCAACATATATCCAACATTGTGGCACATATACTACATATCATACACATCATAAACATTGATGCATACTTATTTTTAAAAAGCTGCAACTGCGAATAAGAAATTGTACAATTGAGAGAGAGGAAACTTCCATTTATGTCTCTAATGTATTTGAATTTATATTTAGTGTGTGTGTGTTAAATGTTTGGGATTCAGTATTACATTGATCACAATCAGGGTAGGAACTACCATAAAAATGCCTGCTATCCCTTTACTATTATCCTTTTCTTTTTCATTTATATATCAAGACCAATATGATATTTAATTGAGGAAACCATAACTGACAGCTAAGAGGCAATTGAGAAATCAGGGGCAGTTCATGGAAATAGCAGTTAGTGCAAGAAGTAATCTTGAGAAGGTGAAAAATAAGATGGATAAAATTAGTCTTTCCTTGCCTATGATTAAAATGAGTGCTTTTCTGGTACATGACTGGCATAGCATGATAAAATACATCTGCTATTCCAGCCAAGCATACACTATCAAAATACACCTATATGTCACAGAAAACACTAACAGTCCAAATTCAGATATGAATAAGGAACTATCTAAACATGTTTGTCCATCACACAGCTACTACCATTCTACTGATATTGTGTTACATTAGGAGAAGAGAAACAATTGCTTGACATGAAAGAAAAGGCTTCACTGAAGTATCAGTGGTACAGAAAGCTATCACACATCAGGTACAAAAATAAGACTTTTCACATCAGCAGTAAAAATGTGAAAGTGGAGAAGATATGTTAATCCTGGGAGTGAGACATTGTTAATATAATATTGAACTTTAAACTTGATGTAGATTTGGTTCTCAAAACACAGTATTGTAAACTGCCAGCAAATAAAAGTGCAGAGTAGTTACATTTATCTTCACAAGAAAGGAATAAAGTGTGTTGGCTGACTTGTGACATATCAGTAAGAGTATCTGCAATGTTTTAAAATGTTCTTAACAATTAGACGCTAGGCCCAGTTTACTAAATTTTTGTTTTGATATATATAGCTCAGAGTTTAGCCTAGGACTACACGTTATGCAAAGGAAAATCTGAATATATGCAGTGGAGATACATCAATTTATAGATTCCTGCAATCGTAAACTCCTACAGTATGTGATAGAAATGCACATGTCAAACAAAATGTTTTGTGATGTATTATTGTTGGGAGGGGAACTGTAGGCAACTGGGGAGAGGTTAGCCTGCCACATATACATCAAATACCTTGAGTTATATACTTGTGTTAAATATTGGGCTGCAAATACATAGGAGGTTTGCATTACAATATCAATTTGGATGTTTTTCTGTCATTGTTTCTGCCAATGCCTATGAAGGAAATAAAGGAGTGACGGCAAAGAGAGCATTTCAAATTTATTTTTCAAGTTTTCCTAAAGAAGTTCAAATCAAACCCTCTCTGAAATATTTCTGTGTTAAATCTAAAATCCCACAACTATTTTCCAAGACAAAATTTGCAGATTTGTAATATTTAAAGAGTTTATGATTTTAAACATTCACATATATCTTCTTATATAACTATAAACAATACAAAAATTTACAGATTAATATAAGAAATGGAAATAAGATTTTACATGTAGGACAATACTTTTTTCAAAGTAAATCTGGATTTGAGTATATAAATGAGTCACCTGGATTGTGCCGTCACTTTACCTTCAGGATGATGGGTGATCCTGGCTTTTGGTCCAAGATGCCAGTAGCACTCAAAAGTTCAAAGGCAGGGTTTGGATAATAAATAAATTTGGTGTCATTATAAATCAGTAAAGATTGAACATTGTTAAAGATGAATCCGATTTCATCAGGTCGTTCAACAACATCCAGACCTGGTCGGTACTGTGATGTAAGTGAAGGAGCCAGGCAAGTGAGGGTGGTAGTATTCACAACTTTACAAACCTGGAAGAATACAATTAAGGCAGGGTTATACCTTGAATAAAATATTTTTTAATTATTGTCACATCATGATTCCACCTTAATTAGTTTGGCAAGACTGAATTATCAAACCCTTTTCCAAACCATGTAATAACTTGTTCTGTCATCAGCCAGGAAGAACATTCTGTGAGAATGACTCTAGAAGTGAAATATAAGCTTTTTATCTCCTTTTGTTCACTACCATATTTTAAAAATATCATTTCTATATAGAAAATAAGCATTAGACATACATGATGCTGGGAAGCTGGATAGAGCTTTAGTATACAAGAAATAATCAGTGTTATATGGAATCTGAAATAGAAAGATACACGGTTCTTTTTATTAAAAATGGATTATAGATTCTGTGATATGAATGATAGCTGGAAATGATACCAGATTCTGAGGTTGGAAGATAAATTTTATTGAAATAGCATAATGATCCTTTAATTAGATAGACCACAATCTGATAGTAACTTGTTTATGGTCACCTGTGAATTTCATGACTGATCAGAATACATCAGATTTGTTCTGCTGCCTATATCTTCCTGTTATGTTCATATACATATACAACTGTTTTGGATCAATACTGTATATTGGGAGATGTGGCAACTTGTGAAATGTGCAATGAACCTGTCACGATTGAGTTCTTATACTTCAAAATTACCACAGCCCATTGAAAATAAAATGAAGCACTACAGAGGAAAAGAAATCAATGTCTCACATTTGTGTTTACAGGTCAATGAAGATCATGTTAGCAAATCTTCAAAAGATATCATACTTACTAGCATCATATTCTCAGGCATCAAGGGAATAGAAAAGGGGTTTTGAATAATCCAATCTGGTTATATAGATTTCTCATACGCATTAAGAGTAGTATCTAAGACCAATTTAATTTTTTTATAAAAATACACACACACACACACACACACACACACACACACTATAAAGGTAACAATAACATTCAAGTTAAAGGAGATTCTAATGCTTTCTTTTTCTCTTTTCTTCTTTCTCTTCCTTCCTTCCTTCCTTCCTTCCTTCCCTTCTTTTCTTATTATTCAATTTTGCAGCTACCAAGATTGTTGGACAAGCAGGCACAGAAACAGCCAGGGAAGTGATTGAAGCTTGGGAAACAGCCCCTCATCAGTCAATAGGAGTGCTGATTTACCACACCTATCAAGTATTTAGAAGGAAAGAGCTGGGCAGCACAAGCAAATGACAGCTAATAAAGTCCCAGAAAGTTTATTTTCTTTAGGTTGTTCCAGATGTTTTACAAAATGATATAATTCAGAAACCTAAAACCTCCTAAAGCACCACAATTTTAAGAAGCAAGAGTTATATATGCATGTACATTCTTTGCTCTGCTTGAATTATAGCCAAGTCTTTGGATGGGAACTGTGAGAAAGAATCTTAAAACTTAAAACTGAATGACAATGCTTTTTTTAAGTTACATATTAAATTATATTTCCTCACTTGAAACCAACACTGAACCATCATAAAGCCCAAAAATTAAATAAACAATAAGGCTTTGAAATACGAAAACTACCAACTAGATTAAAAGTTGTGTTTATGAATGAAGTTAAGCTATATGGCTGAATCAGTCAAGTTCACAATTTACATTTCTAATGTGAGGTTCTTATTCTTGAAAATGCAGACTAATTATTTGCAGATCACAACAATTGATCATAAAATCATTTTTCTCAACGTGAAGCATTTGCATTTGTCTATTTACATATTTAATTCTATATCTTGCTCTACACTCTAGACAGAATTTAGAACTTACATTCTATATCTACTGATAAAATAAATATCACTTATTTTCTGTAACTGTTCATTTAATATAGAAAGTGAGGGGAAAATGGACGACGCTAATAACAAAATTTTCTATCCAAAGCTCCAAATTATGTCCACACATAAACTATGCAGTTGGCTAGTTAAACAAAATCAAGGGGCATATTATTCTTTCTGTTATTAATAGATTTAAATATAAATATTTTTTAATGATTCAACCACACTGAATCTGAATGGGTTGACTGAATCAATGAAATACACCATCTAGGAAATCTTTCAGGCCCTTATGGTCAGAAAGTAATTGTGCCCTTACAGTGAGATTGTATCTATGTCTCACCCTCTTCCTTATTTCTGCATACAGCTGCATATGTAGATTTCAAAATTTGCCCACAAAGGCTGAGTTTGATCTTAATGCTGACAAATATCTGAACAGCTGTGAAGCTTTTTTGTTAGTCACAAATGCATTTGTCATGGATCAGAGATACATTGTTTTGGCAATGGAAATGCAACATAAATCACATTGCAATGTTAATCCTAGTTTGAATTAAAATCCTTCAGGAATATAAACATTTAAAACAATAGTCTAAAATGGGAGTTTTTAAAATTTTTATATAGAGGTAAATGTCAAGATAGGGCATAGGTACATAAAAACTTGAATTTGTGAAAATTGCAATTGTGCTGCAGATCTGGATGGAAACAAATACACAGATCAGAAGCTATGTCATAGGATGGTATGGGGCAGAGCCAATTTTACAATTAAAAAGTCTCTTCCATCACTTGCTTCTCTGAGGCTTTGATAGTTCTCCAGGATTGTTCTGTTTAAATGAAGCAGGTGTTCAGAAGGGTAGAGTCAGTAAAATATCACTACCATTGTTGTTGTTTTTTCAACCTTGTTTACTTAGAGCATCTCTGCCTTCTGCTGCTGGCTTTTTGTGTGCCTCCAATGATGTATGGTGGGGCCTCACAATGGCACAAGTACCATATGCTGTCATTGTTCCCTGTTAAATGCAGTTTCTCTATACAGTATGATAAGGCTCCATGGAATAAAATAAAAACAAGCTCTTAAGGTTATCCATGATAAGGACTCTAAAATGGAATCTAACTAATGTAACATAAGATATAGCTGCACAGAAATTTTTCCTGCATTTTTAAGAATATTGGAGATTTAGAATGTAGGGATTATGAAAAGACACAGGAGGTGTGAACTCTCCCCAGAGACCTCTCCCCTATTTTTTATATCTCCTTCTACAAACTATATTCTGCTTTAAACAGTTCACAATATTTAACTTTATTTTTATCCTGCCTTTATTATTTTTATAAACAACTGAAGATGATGAACATATCTAATACTCCTTCCTCCACAAAGTTTTACCACAACAACAATCCAGTGAAGTGGGCTGGGTTGAGAGAGAGTAACTGGCATCCAGAGGGAGGAGAAGTGAAAAAAATGGCAGGATGGTTGGTGTAGCATCAGAAAGCAAGATCCACTGTTTTCATATGTATGTAGAAAACTTACAGTAACTTCATAGGAAAGCAAGAATTTAACCTTCCATCTCCTGTAGCAATAGCACTTAGACTTATATACCATTTCACAGTGCTTTACAGCCCTCTCTAAGCAGTTTACAGAGTCAGCATATTGCTCCCAATCTGGGTTTTCATTTTACCGATTCCAGAAGGATAGAAGGCTGAGTCAACCTTGAGCCAGTGAGAATCGAATTGCTGGCAGTTGGCAAAATTAGTCTGCAATACTGCATTCTAACCACAGCACCACCACAGCTCCTTCCACTGTAGCCAAAGTTATGTTAAATAGTATAATAAATTAGAACCAAATACAAACCTATTAATGAAATATTTATTAGAATGAATTTTGATTATTATGAATGTGGTTCTTCTGTCTCATTGATAAAATAGATCAGGGTTATATTTGAATAAAAAGCCTTTCTTTTTCAAGTGATTAAAGATAGGTTTGAAAAACAACCAGCCTACAACTTGCATATCAACCAAGAATCATGCAACCATTGGGTTAAGGAAACTTTCAATCTTTGGTAAAAGCAGATACTTACATTGACAGATTCTTTGCCATTGTACTTCACTCGGATTCTGGGTTCTTGTATAACATCCAGGTTGGATCCTGTAACAGTGAGAGGTGTGTGGCCACTGAAAGAAAGCAGAAGTCTTTAGGTTAATGAGGTTAATATGTCAAGAGGAAATGGGCCAGAACTCAGTGTCTATATTTCTTATAAGTACAAATGTTTGTTGATCTCAACAGGATATTTTCTGCAGGTTGAATAGGACGACAGAGTGCATTAATATACCATTGAATGCATTAATACACCATTGTCTTGATTCTGGATTAGTTGTCTTCCATAATATATATTTTTTTTGTTTCATTTGTCCCCCTAGTGGATAGTTATTTTTCCCATGTAACTTTTCTTAGACATGTTAACAATGGATGCTAAGGAAATCAAATGAACAAAAAATATGGAGGTCATTTCTTTGCTTCAGACTTTCTAGCTCAACACAATATAATAACACTCATCTGAAATTTAGATTTTATCTCTAGCCTTTAATATGGCAGATACATTGGGAAGTGATGGATAGTGAAATAACTAAATAGGGAAGAGCCAACAAAATCAGCTGATTGGAAAAAGTTGGGTAAATGTTAACAAGGTTGCATACACAAACTATTTGACAGTGATCTATTTCTATTATGTGGATTCTGGGGTGATCTTGTAACATACTTTTGATTTTAGCCTCTCTAATTCCTAAGGAAGATGTGAATGACTAATTCACCCCAGTATCTGTCTTGACTGTTGCTTCTGACTAAGGTTATTCTGAGTTTCTCCTGTGATTAATTGAATACGTATTAAAAATCTACCAGCCCTATCTAATCAATCTCCAGATTACTCCCTTCCCAGATATAAACTAGAGAAAACTAGGATTGAAAGCAGCTGTTGTCAGTCAAATTGTTTTTGTTCTGCCTTATGTGCATTTAGAAAATTAGAACATTATTGAGTACCTAATTAAATAGGAACGAGAAGTTACTAAATCATGGTCATTTGTCTAAGATATTCAAAATTGCAGGTTTAAAGCTTTAATATGCCAGGTTTTTTTTAAAAAAAGATCTTCAATTCCACTTTTTTCTTTAGTAGGTTTTGAAGCTCACCACATTGCTTCTAAGGATTTCTAAAGCCAGTCTGGAATCATCTATAAGAAAGAAAGACTTCCATTTCTCAGATCTCTCAATATATAGAGCTCACACTCACATTTCATCTTTTGTATGCCATATTGCATACAAGTCAGAAAAAGCTAATAGCAGTGCAAAAACTGACCTAAGGTTTTAGAAAGCATTCAATCAATAATTGTACAGTAGAGTACACTTCTGGGATATAGCTGTGCATCTTATGTAATTTCATGCATGAACTTTTTTCTTCTCTTTTTGCATTGATTGCCACTGTTTCTGTTTTAGCACTGACTCTCTTAAAAAGAAGCCTTTAATGAGCAATTGTGCATTTCTTCAGCAGATGGAAGTGATCGTGGGGCTCCATTTGCTTTCCTAGAATCTTGTCACGGATTGCTATGGCTGTAATTGCAGCTGAATTAGTCACTCTGATTTTCTAACTCAGGGAAAAGAGATGCTTTCATTTCCCTGAAACAAGGCCTGGGGATAGGAGACCCACTTATTTCAGATAGTTTGTTCTTTTGCAATAGATTGAAAAGGTTTATCTGAAACATTTTCAAATAATTTTTTACATCTTCCTTTTTTGGGGGGCTCAACACATGCAAATTATGTGATCATTTTAAAAATATAATTCTTTAAATTGTCTAGACCTTTTGAACCCAGGAAATCAGGAGAATGGCTATGCCATACTCCTTGAAGGATCAGACCTTTATTCATAAATCTTCTATATTTACACAGGTGGAATAAATCCTCTAGGAACTGTGAAGCTGGGTGCTGACAACTGAGAGGAAAGCAAATGAAGAGAATTATAAATTATACCTTTTTCTCTCTCACTGGGAACTTGGCTGTGCTGTGCTAAGTCACAGACTCTGTTTTCTTTTCCCTATCGAAGGACAGTTTTAAACTAGCATTTATAAAGATAGTGTTGATTCTAAAGTCATCACCCATAGTGACATGGTTTCAAAATTTGAACAAAGCTTTTGTTGAATTTTAAAAATGGTAATCACTACATTTTTTTTCCTGCCATGACTGTGAAATCCAGGCCAATCAAAATTGTTCTTGCAGGGGTGAAGAACTTTCATTTATTTGAAGATAGTTACCAAATATTTTATATTCTTTGACAAGACAAAGTATTTTCAGCCTAACTCTAGGCTTGTAGATATTTTTTGCAAAATGGTTTTTGGGACAGCTCTAGATTGTTGAAGATATTTATAAAGAAAACATTGTAGCATGCCTTTTAGATGTGCTCAGTAATAATAATGCCAAGTCTTTTCTCCCCAATTATTGTTTTGTTTGAATTATTGGAGTAAGAAAAGGGAGTACCCTGACTAGAGGTGCATCCTAAATAGACACTAGTAAAAAAGTACAGAAATCATGTGGCTTTGAACAATGCTTTGAAAATTTCAACTTGGTTGAATTTCTGTTTTGTGAGGAATTAATTGAACCCTGCTTCAAGTAATTTGTTTCTTGATGCAACATTATAGGAGCTTAGTTACCTGGCTATGCTCCATTCAGGCTCAATCCGATGAACTTTTGGGTCATCAATGTATTCAAATTGTAACGAGCTTTCTAGCTGGGCCCGGTCCACACTGACAGAAACATGCACTGGTCCAAGACCATGGGTAGAAGGTGCAGACACACACATAATCTCATTAATTGATCTCCTGTAAGAAAAAAACAATCTTTAGTTAGAAGAAATACGAACAAAGAATGACACCACTTATTGCCCACAATGGGAATCTTTGGGATTCATTCTAAAGCAGTTGAATGACAATCTTCGGGGGAGATATGATGCTTTTTAAATAGATGTTCTCTAGTAGATAGTTGATAGTCATGACTCACAAAGGCATGAATATTCATGAATTTTCATCTAAAGTCATTTTTACTTCTGCATATAATAAGCATACATCATTTAAAATTTGGATTGTAATTAAATCAAGATTTAAAATATGATGCTGAAGTTCTTATTTTTGGAAATATGTGGTAAGGTCTTGACTTTGCAACCTTGGTATTCACATCTGCTGAAGTATAAGTATACTGCCAAAATTTTGTTTTCTGAAAAAAAACCCTTACTGAATAAATTCCATAATATGTATTAATCTCATTTATTTATATTATAAATGTGTATGCCATCTATCCATAAATGACTTTGCATGGCTTATAATTAAAGATGTACAAAATATCAGTTTCGGAATGGAACATTCCAAAATAATAATGTAAAGCTTAATTTTGACTGCATGCCCTTCTACTGTTCTGGTAGTGATTTATTGCATCTGTGTGGTCTGGAGGAAAAACAGCATTTTGCACTTCCATCTCTACATCCAATATAAATATAAATATGTTCCTGAAAGCAGCATTTTGCACTTCCATCTCTACATCCAATATAAATATAAATATATATAGGTGTTTGTGTGTTCATAGGTGAGTTGGGTTGAGAGAGAGTGATTGATCCAAAGTCACCAGCTGGCTTTCATACATAAAGCAGGACTTGAATTCACAGTCTCCTAGATTCTAATCTGGTGCCTTAGCCATAGACCAAACTGGCTCATATGAATATCTAAAACTCTATAAAGCCTAAAGGGGCCTATAAAAGATCACACACACACCAGTTGGCTAGATCAAAAAAGCAAGATTATACTTATTCAGTATCTTTAATGCTAATTTTGAGATAAATGACAATCTTGAAAACTGCAAAAGGAATGTCCAACCCTCATTTTTTTAGTGCATTAATGTTGAGTTTTTTGATAATTTGAAATGCTTTTCCCCAGCTTTTTTAATATGAGCTGAGTTGCTACTTAAACTAATAATTGTGGTAGAATGTAATCTGGATTCACAAGAGGGAGGGGCTGCTTTTCAGAAGGCAAAGAGGATCTCAGAAAATTTGGTCTGCAACAAGAGGGCTAAAATGGCTCTTCCCTGGCAGTTCCCAGAGTATATCTATAGTTATACAACTAATTGCTTTACTCTGGCAAGATTCTGTATATAGATGAAAAATAATAAAGGAAACTACTCAGAATTAGCTCCAGGAAGGAGGGAGGATGGAGTAAATGTCTTTTATGTCAATTATTTCCCTTCCTATTCAAAATCATCATCAAAACTGTTTAATCCCCAGAGAAGAAAATATTAGGAAGCCTTGTGCTTTTTCCACTATGCATATACTCAGCAGAAGGTAGGGGGGAGAGGGGGGGGGAGAGATGCAAGAAAGGATAACTAATGGCAGGAAAAAAATAAAGTTACTCAAATTTGAGTCTTCATCTCCCTTTCCTGAGTCTTATTTCTGGATGTAATAAAGATGGGAAAAACAATAATTATATTATACAGCTAGTTTTGCTTATAGATACATTCCTGGTATGAAGATGTATAATCAAAGAATGGAACATTGGTTATTCTTGCCTTTAAAAAAAACAAACTGTAATAACCATCAATAATTACAATAATAAATTGTAAACTACTTGAGTAAACAAATTAAATATATAACATGAGTTTCAATTTACAGCATGTTTAGTATTTGGCTCCTTTCATTGGAATTAAGGAAGGACACATAAGTTAAAATGTTTTATGGATTCTTCTATTCAGGTTTCAGACCAGATACATATGTATACTTTAGAAATCTGCATCCTGACCTCCAATATTCCCACAAAATTCATAATCTTCTGATGTGTCCTTGGAGCATGCAAAAGTAAAGTATCTAAATACGTTTTATACCCTTGGAAACCTTAGGGATATAGTAAGATTTTGTTATATTGCCAGTGTTTTGGATGGTGCTATATTTGTTAAATACTTTACCATAAGCATAGTGGATTTTGTACTGCACTTTTCCAAATAGTTAAATATTAAGTGCAATATCTTGTGGTTATATGAAGAGAATTGGAATTGATATATTATATTTGAAAAGAAAAAAAAGTCCCTCAGGATGCAATTTTTTTTGAACACCACTCTGTTTCTTTACCCAAAAGAATAAAAGGGAGTTCCTGATCTGAAAAAAAGTATCATAAATTTGATTCAAAGTATGCATAATGGGATTAAAGCATAAAAAAATAGGGAAGGAATATAAATGATAAAAATGGATGGAGGGAAATGGACAATGTAAAATTAAAAAAAGAGAAAGGAAGTAGGTTATGCACTGTCACATCACTGTGCAACCTGGCCATAATAACAATTTTTCTTGGAGCTGGAATCTAATCTTCTATCTATCAGCGACCTCACATGAGAATAGGCATTTTAACATGCCATAGACCAGACTTCAGAGATATCTGCTTAGTCCTTGTGTAAGATCCAAAGCGACACATCACTGCTGGCAAAGAGTTAGTGCAAGCTCCCTGTGATCAGTTAATTAGCTTTCTGCGCTATTACCATGTCGTCATGGTGAATTTCTCCACTCCTCCGATCAGAGGCAGGAGAATAGAAAGAAGCTGTAATTACAGTGAATCTCATTAGAAACTGCTTCATCTAATCAGTCTCCTGCACATCATGAGTACATGCCAAGTTCATCACCTATAAACCATGCAGTTTATGGAAGAAAGAAAGAAAGAAGACCATGTCATGACCTTGTATGGAAATGCTGGGATAAACAGTATGCTATTAGATTCTGAGAAATGTTGTTTACTAGATTATATGGGCAAATAGATATAGTGAATTAGGAAAAGTTCTTAAATATAACCATACATTTAATGGAATAGTTATGTTGCATTAAACATAGATGTTATCATTTATTTATTCCAAATTTTTCCTTAGCTGCAAATTAAAAAAAAAGAAAAACCACTGAGGTTGATTTATAAATTCTAATTTATAAATTCTAATGGTGGTATATGCCACAAAGAAGGAATAATGAAGATAAATAAATAATTTGTGACTTAGATGCCCACAAGACTATACTTGGATAACAAACTATGAAGAATGTGAAAGGACATTCAGTATCTAGCAAGTGACCAAGTCGGCTGATCTTGTCTGGCTTGGATGTCTGGGAAAGTGTGAAGATTATTGAGGGGGCATTGATCTGTGGCAGAGGTGGGAGCTAGCTAACAGATTTTAGAAAAGTCCAGGCAATGTCCTGCCACTGTGGCAATATGCCCAGAGGGCAGGAATTATCTTGTCCTATTAGTGATTCTATGTCTGGAAGGGGCTCCTACTGGTCAAGGTACGGGATTTCCTTAGATTACGTTGATTGCATCAATCTAACAAACTAACGTCTCTGAAACATCGGGAAACCTTCAATACGGTGAGACGGAGGATCTTTTCATTGATCTAAATCCTAACTACCAACCCTCCTTCTAACCCTAACCTGACTTCCAACTAACACCTCGTGTAACCACTCCTTCCCTCGGGACTTGACCCATTTTAACACCTCCCCCCCAGGTGGGAGATAGAAGGGAGAGTAGTGGCTTGTCTTAGGTTGGTGAAGTTGTATGTTTGTTGCCCTATGTATGATGAGTACAGAGGGAGAGGGCATGATTGGGTTTTGAAAGTGAGTGGGCAGGAGCTGGTTTAGAAGAGTGTGTGGTCAGAAGCACCCTTGTATTTACTTGCCATCTGAATGGGTAGGATTTGTGCTTGGCTTGTGAATGGGACTGTTGATGGAGGAAGGGAAGGAACAGAGAATAGTTCAAAATGACCCCACTGACTTCTAGATCAGGAGGAATTGGTGGAACATTTGAATGGCTGTTAAGTGGACCAAACCATGAAATCAATTCTACAGAATATCTATAATCTTTTTTTAATTGAGATTGACTGTAATAAACAAACCTTGCTGTAATCTCCCCATCCTCCTTAAAGATCAATAAATTAGGGAAGTGTCTGTCCCAGCCACTTCTGAATATTATCTGGACATTACGGATTTAACATCCAATCTGAAAAAAATCTGCCTTTCAGCTTTATAGGGCCTGGAGGAAGCTGAACCATTTTCAGTCCAGATTCAGTCTGGAATATGGTATAGAGATGGCTTTGGTCACAGTTGTCAGTTATTTGTGGCAAGTCTTGGATGTATGTGATGCCTCCATCCTGATTCTTCTTGTCTCTTGGCATGGTATCCTGACCTGGCTTTTTCTCTAAGCACTTGAGTCTAGTTTAGTGGAATTTTCTTTTGATTGTTTAATTATCATATCTGGTCTTTTATATTTTATATGTTGAGTTATTGTTTAATGTTGTATTAATATGTTTACTCTTTATTGTTTGCTTTGTAGTACACTGCTCAATGTTACATTGTTGGGTGACTCAATACTTCTATTATATATATATATCTCCCTTTCTGATATCCAAGAACAGCAGAAAGAGTACTAGTAAAAGATATCCCAGTATGTTTTTTATGGTAATGAATTACGTGATACTACTATTTTTCATGTTAGCCAACAGAGCTAATGAAAGCATGTAATCAAGTTGAACTCTGCAAACATCAGTGTTGCATCCCAGCATCAGTTGAGAGAGTTCCTGCATAACTCTAGGCTTAAAAAGTTATTTGAGAAGCAAATACCATAAAGAAAAAAAAATCTCCTCTGTAGATAAGAAATGAAAAACCTCCTGTAATGTAACTATGCACGTTTCTTCTTATCTGTTCCAAAGGTATAAATGAACACTGTCCTATTAGATAAGGAGATACTAAATCAGTTAAATCAAGTCTACTCATTAACATGTCATTCCTTATCTCCCCTTTTCAATCCAGGCATAAAGTGGATGCTGGGATGTTTTATCTCTTCAGATGCTAAAGAAAGCAGCATTAATATGAAAAGTCTCAGTAATTCAGCTTTGGAAATGTTAGTTAT